GCTGCTGACAATGACTGAGGCTCCCTGGCCTTACAATATAGGAAGTCAATTCTGTGTCAGGCCCCTGGGTTTACATGCATGGCCACAGTGAATATACTTATTTACTGGAGAGGCTTCTCCTGCTGCTTTTGCTGCAGAGAAAGCGAACAGTGATCTCTGTGGACCCTTCCCTGGGGACGTGGGCTGATGCACCCAAAGACCTCATGGGGCTCTGCAGTGTGGGTCTATCCAACTAGCAGAATCCCGCTGGATTTCCACTGGGCATTTCTCACCCTGGAAAGGATGAACCGCTCTTTAGGCACTTGTTAGCTATTATTTAACAGCTAATGTTGCTAAGAAAAGGCCAGGAGGTGGCAGAGAGGTGGCACCGCCCCAGGAGTCTTTTGCAGGGCTTACACCCAGAGACCCTTTGTGGGCCCGGTGGAGACCAAGCTACCATCTGACTCTGCGTGGGCAGTTTCGGTGCTCTCTGCGCCAGCATTATGCACTTCACAGCGACAGCAATGTCAACCCAAGTGGCTGCTGACCTGCCTGCAGTCAGTATTGCTCAGTGCAGCACTTCCACACAAGTACACACAGAGAGTTATGCTTAATTTTATCGCCTGGGAAGGCTGCTGTAATTTGGGGCACAGAATTATGCTGTAAGGCAGTCCCACTGGCTCACTAATCAGGACCTTCGCCCCCACCGCCCCTACCCCAGGGGCTGTGAGAAGACCTGCAACAGTAAAATGCACTGGACCTGCCCACGGTGTTGGCAGGGGACGGGTTTCCCAGCATCGGTGGCTCCCCAGGGTGACTGGCCACACTGCAGGGTTATCACCTGCAGGGAGCCTGAGCCAGGAGGGAAATCCCCCTGGGCAAAAATATACATCACCTCCCTCATTAACAGTGGACTACAAAAAAAAAAAAAAAAAAAAAGAATGCTGCAAAAGAATAATGAACAGATCACCTGTGAGAAATGAATTATGTAAATGCATATAGCCCTCTGTCAAAGGATGGGGCGATTACAGGAGATCATGTAGCGTCACAGATAGATAAAGTGAGCAGAACAAAAGTTAAGTTTTGAAACGGCTGTAAACTTCAGCTTTGGGGCATAAACCAGGTCCTAATTACTGGAGGCTGAGGGGAATCTTTATTTTTGTAGCAAGTTATTCAGCAGCTCTCTTCCACAGAGCGTGGTGCCTTCCCAGGAAGCATCTCTTGTTGGCCAATGTGAGAAAGCAGACGCTGGGCAAACCAGATCGTGGGATGATCCAATCTGCCGCATCTATCACTGTTACCCTCTTCTGTCACGTATGTACAGGGTATTGACCCGCTCCATTAAATCTCTCCATGCAGAAGGCTGTATCGGTGTAACTATGTGTAGCTGTAGTTGCATGAATGCTTTTCTCAGGGTTGGGGGGGTGGACTGAGCAAGAAATACTGCAAACATGCACTGAGAATAACCCATATGTATGTATGCAGTCTGTTCTGCACAGTATCTGTGAATGCATCAGTGCTGTGTGCTTGTATGAGCTGGTGTGTGCCTATATTTTACATATGTATCTCTCTCAGAAAATATTCTTTGATAGCATGTGATTAGATGGGTCTTTTTTTAATATGTGGCACATGCATAAAGAACTGTATGTATGCACTTGCATGTAAAATCACCAAATATGAAGGAAAAATACCCAAATAATCAGCCTATGTGCTGAGCTAATTCTATATATTTGTAAAAAGCCTTGCTGTCAGTGGGAATCTCACCAGGTCATGCAGAACAGCAAGGAGGACTGGTGTCCTCAGCGCCTGTGAAAAGCACCAGAGACCTGAAAGTCTTTCCAAAACGTGCTCCCTTCAATTAAAAATCAATTAAAAATCCCCTCCCTTTCCTAGTGCCTGAAGCATAAAAAACATTCTTTAAAGATCCATTCTTTTCCAGCAACCAAATTTTGGATAGGGGGGTATTTTCAAATTATAGGTGCTGTGCTCTTTGCCTCTCACTTTTGGCAACTGCAGTGCTGCAAGCCCGACCGAGATTCCTGCAAGGAGGAGGAGGAGGAGGAGGAAGATGAAGGCAGAAATACAGCTCTATTTATGTTGATATTAGATCTCAGGCTATGTGATCTCATCTAATTTAAAGTTACTCCAAATGAACTATCTCCAAGAATATAATTTTAATGTTTCCATATCAGGCCATTCTTATCTTTCTGCATTACCATGATATCATTCAGGAATAATAATCGCACTATTAGTTTTGGTGTCTAAACAAGCTGGCGAGGAGAAACGGATTTCAGTCACCGCCCTGGAAATCGCTGCTGTCTCAAAAAAAAAAAAAAAAAAGGCGTACGAAGTTTATAAAACCCGTCCTCGGGGGATGTACAACTGCAACAGATGCCCTTCCAGGACAGAAGATTTAGGGTAAAAAGGGAAGTATTTAGGGGTGGAGGCGTTGGCATCTGGAAGGAAATCTTTCTTTTCCCATCTGCCCGTTTTTTTAACGGGGGCATATATGGGATGTAAATGAACAAAATACAACCTGAAATGCCCCGAGCTGATCGGAGAGTGTGTGATGCATCAAGGCAAAGGCACCAGCCAATGAAAGCAAGGCTGCCGATTTTTTATCATTAATATTGTGAAGCAACATTAACTGATTGGAAAGACTTTTCGGGAGCAGGCAAAGCCTTGCGAGCCATCGCTCCCTTCCGAACGATTTGTCTTGCTACCCGCATTTTTGAGAACGACGCCAGGTTTCCCTCGTTTAATCTTCGCGAGGGATGACGAATGATATAATTCTCCCCCCCGAAAGAATCTGAGAATAAACAATGAAAACAACAACAAAAAAGGGAGTTTTGTATTTTAAGCGGCAGAGGGGAAAACGCAATATACTGAGGCGAGCGGGTCGGGGCAAGCGGTGCCAGCGCGGGTTTAACCGCGGATGTTAAGCGCGGCCGCGCACGCCTGGCCGCGGCCGCTCCGCGGGGCAGAGCCCCGGCAGCCGGGACCGCTGGTATCGCTGTTTCCACAAGGGAAGTGGGGTAAAAAATAAGTTTCCACGCGTGTCACCCTACTATGGTCAGGTCCAAGCCCGCAAGTCCCTGCCGGGGGGATGGGCAGCCCTCGGGTACCCTCGCTCCGGCCTGCGGCCAGAGCCCCGACGGGGCTACCGGGACCACGCGTGGCACGGAGATCCCCGGGGGGAGTAACGTAGCAGGAGCCCGGGGGGGGGGGGCAAGCTGGGGATAGGGGCCCCTGCACCCCCTTTTTTTTGTTTGAGGGTCCCGTATGCACGCAGCGGCTGCTGGGGTGGTGGGTGGAGGTGGGGAGCCCACCTTAGGCAGGGGGAAATTTCCCCGGAGAAGGTCCGGTGCCTTCGCGGGGGGGTCCCGCCCTGCAGGTCCCGCTCTGGGCACGGGGCTCCCGGCGAGGGCTGAGAAATTCGCGGCGCATATCTGGGCGCAACGAAAAAAGCCGCTGGGATGGCGCTGGCGGGGGCAAAGCTAAAGCCTCCGGTGCTGCCGGCCCCGTCCAGGTGAGCGGACTCTAAACCATATGCCCCCCTCTTCTTCCTCCTCCTTCTCTTCCTCCTCCTCCCCGGCCCCGCACGCACACGGCTCTGTCGGGAAATGAAAGTCATTTATTGCAAGCGGAAAGGAAGAAGGCAGGAAATAAGCTCGAGGGTGGTTTATACGACTATTATTATTATTATTATTAGGAGGAGGAGGAGGAGGAGGTGGAGGGGGTTAGGTAGGCCCCCGCCGACAGCGGCACCCCGGCAGGGAGCGGCCCGGGGCGGCGGCTCGCCGCCGGGCGGGAGGCGAAGTTACCGGCGGAGCGGCGGCCGTGCCCCGGCGGGGGGGGAGGGGGGGGCCCCGAGGGGCCCGGGGGGCGCGGCCCCCCCGACCGGCCCAGGGAGCCTCCCCCCGCCGCACCGCCCGCCCGATTTCTCGTTTCTCTCCCCGGTCGCTGTCGGAAAGGGGCGGGCGGGGGTAGAGGACGGCCCGGCGGCGGCTTTTCGGAGCAGGTTTGTTAACCAAAGCAGGTGCTAAAAACCAATAAGCCTGGAACAAACGCGGTCCCCCCCCGGGAGCCAGGACAATTGTTTCCATTTAATAAATATTTTCCCCACGGGCGTTTCGCGGGAGGCAGGCAATTATTCAAAGCAAGCCGGGACGCGGGCCGGCTCCCGGGGTTAAGCGGGGCTGCGGAGCGGGGAAGGAGGGGCTGGGGGGGGAAGCGGGAGAGCTGCCCGGAGCACGGCGGAGCGCGGCGCTGGCAGCCCCGACGGCGGCGGCGGGGAGCCTGGAGGACGCCGGGACCGGCCCCGCTCCACACACCGGCGGGGGGGGGGGA